GTGCTTTTGGATTTATTTACACAAATTATATGTTTAAAGTTTAACCTGTGAACTGGTCCCAATTTCATCTGAGTAAACAGAGAAAAAAACTGATGAAAAAATTAATTTTGTGGTTATGGATTTCAAATTTCAAAGGTACTAAATTTTCTAATCATTGCTTAAGCTAATAGCTGGATCAGTAAATAAATACAGAAGGGTATTAGAGCTTTAAGGGCATAAAACTTTTGTATTTATTGAGTTTTTATTTATTTTTTGCAAAAAAAATTTTTAGTAACAGTTTTTTACATCTGGCAACGCATAGCTACTTTGTTCGTTGGTATCTATGTACTCACAAAATACAGGTGTGCAGAGATAAACAAGTGTGTAACCAGTGGCGTATCACAAAAAATATAAAAAACTTCTAATGCATATTTTTTCTTTATCTTTGGAAAAATGTTTTTTTAAATATTTTTCCTTTATTCCTTATGTCAAAAGGTATTCAGTATTTTAATATATAACATTAATTACATAACACCCTGTATAACTTTTAATTAATAATTCATGAAAAAAATATTCAGTCAGTTTCACTTGTTTTGATTCCCATGTATGTTTTACACAAAATTACCTAACCTCAACAATAATTCTTATAATAATTATAATTATTGATATATTTGTATATTTTTTATTAACATATGGAAATATATTTTTTAAAGGCTTAACTTTTAAACAAAAACGAATCGCATCCATTTAAGAAAAAATGTTTATAATTAACCCAGCTATCATCTGACAAAGTTTGCCATAGAGCTTGTAGAGCACCCTGTATAAGATATTTAAACCTTTTCAAAATTATGATGTATAAACGAAATAAATTAAATGTTTATATAGGTAGGTACCTAAAGTCAACAATACTTTTAAATTATTATAATATAAATAATTATAATTTAACGATAAATATAATTATTATTATAATAATTATAATTCAACAATATTATTAAATATTTAAGTATACCTACGTCATTATTTAAGAATATTGTTAAGTTTAAGTATCGTCTAGGTATTTTAAATCAAATTTGCCTATAATTATAAATTTAGACAATATTTTTAAATAATGACTTATAATTAATTTAATAATAATTATTATTATAATAATTTTTATTATAATAATTATAATTCAACAATATTATTAAATAATTAAGTATACCTACGTCATTATTTAAAAATAGAGATGGGAAAATTCCCATTTGACGAAAATTCCCGGAAACTTTCTATCGAAAATTCCCGAAATTTTCCGAAAGTTAAAAAAAAAAAATTTTATTGCGAAAATATTTTTTTCTACTACCTTACTAGAAAACTCATTTTTCCACCCCCGAGCGAGGGAGGAAAATGCCTCTTTTCCTCCCCGGGAGGCGCAAAAATTTCCTCCCTCTTTTTTTTATAAATATTTATATTGGCAAGAGTTTTTGTACCTTGTCTAGCTTTATTTGATTTTGTAGGAATAGTATATTACACTACAAGGGCAGAAAGTGTGAGATTCCTGCACTGCGCGCCATGATGCCCGAGGCGAAGCCGAGGGCATCATGGCGCGCAGTTCAGGGCTCTTACACTTTCTGCCCGTGTAGTGTATACTATTTTTCTTGCTACCCGGCAGAAAATACGGGAAAAAATTAAATGTATATAAAAAAACTTGTGTCAAAATTAAAATCTGACGTTTAATTTAATTCTGACGTTTACATTCAAAATCAATCAAACTGTAGCGTTGTCATGGTAATTCAGCGGTGCCTATACAGTAAAAATAAAAGGTTGTATTTTAATTAACAAATTACTACTTTATAACAAATAAAAGTACCACTAAACACTTAAAACAACATAAAAAGTAAAAAAGTAAAAACATAAATTGTTTATTTGTTGTTATAATTGCAAAATTATGGTTTAAAACTGTCATATTTTACTGTTTCTCATGTTGGCAGTACGAAATTTGAATGTTAAGCACACGACTAAAAAATTTTTACTCCCGCTATAGACCTATCCCATAAAAACTTTCTGCCGTGAAATCGGGGACGAAACAATGTATTTTGAGTCGAGGTAGTAAGAAAAAAGATTTACTCCGCGCTTGTCCAACCATTCTTTTAACATTCTTTTAACAAACTATATTCATATTCACTATTTTAGATGTTTAAGGAAGGAAATTAATTGCAACTATTAAATTTATGATAAACATTATGACAGCTTATAAAAACTGTTATGTTGGTATTACCAAAAATACCATAGCAACAAAGCGTTGTCAACATAACGTCGGCGACGCAAAACCTACTTAATATTTTGTCATAATTTTATAGCCCCATACCGGGTAAGTAAAAGGAACCGGAACGCTTAAAATGTCTTAAAACCGTTAAAAGGTAATAGAAAAAACTATATACATACCTCAGGAGGAAAATGCATTTCCTCCCTTGAATATTTAATGCCCTTCGCTTCGCGTCGGGCATCAAACTATTCGCGGGAGGAAATGCAATATTTTCCTCCCATGGTATGTAAATAGCTATTTTTTATACCAGGGATTTGCAAAAATATATAACACATTAACTTTTTGTCAAATTTTATTAAGAAAAAAAATTAAAAAAAATGTTTATAAGAATGTAACTGCAATACTATTTTTAGTATCTTTTACTTTGGAATATTCCTATTGTATACTGAAACCAACAAAATAAAAATAAAATGTTTAATACTAGAAATTCACTGCTAGTAAATCCTAGATATTACGAAAAAAAATTAAAAGGACAAAGTAACTAATATATAGGAATATTAAAAAGTAAAAAGTAAAGTAAAAAATAATTCCAAACACTAGATTTTTTTCTTGGCATTGTGCTATGCCTATAAATAAACAACAAAAATGTAAGAATGATTTTAACTTTCTTTATTGTTTTTATTTTGTTTACCTTTTTTTAAAAAAGTTTTTTGTGATGATGCTGAATAATCCGGCTTCATTGAAGTTATGTAACCACAGAACATATGTAACATAACTTACATTATTTATACTTCTTCTTCTGCTTTAAATTAACACACATTAAATTCTTATTCAAAGTTTCTTGGCCTTGTATCATGGCCTTAACGAAAATCAGCGGTTAAACAATTGACATTTAAATGAAAAAAACAAGGAAAGTTTCCAAGGAATGTTTCCAGTAGCTTAAAAGAAACTTTCAAAATGAAAATAAATTCCCAGTTGGAAACTTTCCAAAACGGAAAGTTTCCTTAAAATGGAAACTTTCCGATTCCCATCTCTATTTAAAAATATAGGTTAAGTTTAGGTATAGTCTAGGTATTATTATATTATATTAATAGATCTCACACACAAACGCGTATGTGTAATCACTATGTAATCTTTCTGAAATCAATGTAATCACTTTGTAATCTATGCAATCTGGATAGTTTTTGTAATCAGTGTACAAATTTTAGACCGCGGTTTACCCCTCGAGAAATACATTTTCGCCATTAACTGGAATTTAATGGATTTTAAACAATACTTAGTTTTTATTTGAAGAAATACATTAAAACAAAACAAAAGAATTCGATAAAAATAAAACCTATAAATTCTCAAACAAAAATAATTCTAAAATTCAATCCCTACCACAGTGGGCGGGGTTTGGCACTTGTTTTATTTAAGTGTATCCACTGTGTGGATTGTGAGTGTATCTATATGTTTTAATACACACTGTATATTTTATTTTATTTTCATATGTAAAATAAAAAATTTAAAGTTTTTGTATTGTTTATTTACTCAAAATTCTAATGTAGTTGGCCCAGGCTGCTTGTCTAAGGTGACCAACCGTTGTGATTTAACCAGAACTATACTGTTTTTGAGAACCATGTTCTGGTTGTAAATTAAGTAAAGTAAAAGTTCTGTTTTTAAAGCTTTTCTGTTTTTTTCTGTTTTCATACCAACAATACTAATCAAGCCATAACCATAAAATTATATTTTCCACTTTGCCAGATTTCTCGCCCAATCGTGCAACCCTGCTCACCCTACTTCCACTAAATACATTCGCGTTGGCGTTCGCACTTGGCTCTCCCCAAACGAACTAATAGTTCGGAACTATTTTAGTATTGCGCATGTCCCTGACGTCCGCGCGTTTTATTGTGGTTAAATATTGTAATATTGTATCTATTGTTTTTTATATTTCAAACTCTAAATGATATGCCTCTGCAAAGAGGAAAATGCATCTTTAATGCAGAAATGCAAAAGAATTGTTGTGTTTATCTTGAATTTTTTTTTCCAATATGAACAACTTTTGGACAAAAGACAAATCACAATTGCATATTGAAACACTAAAAGTACTAATAAAAAAAATTCACTCCCAAGAAAAATATAGTTTAAAAAAATCTTAATTTGTAATAATATTATGTTAATAGAAATACATGTAAAAATTTTATAAAAAATACCTACAAATTTTTTATTAGAGTTCTGGTTTTTCTTTCAGGAGAGTTGGTCACCTTATGCTTGTCCCAATTAATAAATATAACCATAATCAAATCCAGATTAACATTATTAAAAATATTCATGTTTTTAATCTTTAAAATAGCTTGACATAACCTAATACAAATAAACTGTAAGTAGCAACGATTGGCCCAGACTGCTTGTCCCAATTAATAAATAGAACTATAATCAAATCCAGATTAACATTATTAAAAATATTCATGTTTTTAATTTTTAAAATAGCTTGACATAACCTAATACAAACAAACTGTAAGTAGCAACGATTGGCAAACCCCGATCGTAAATATTTACGATTCTATAAGATTTTCTGTAAGGTACAGGAAGTGCAGAATTGCAAATTGTCTATAAGCTTATAGAAAGTTATAGATTTGCTTACAGATGTGCACAGAATTAACCCATAACACCTAAATATTTATACCTAATAGAAACAGTACAAGAAAATCATCTCTGGGCTGTTATTGCATTTTTCTCAAAAATACTTGTTTGGTTTTGATTCTACATGACTCATCTATAGGTACCTGTTCATATTTACCTGACGGCTCAGATAACATGACAACCTCGACTTCCTGCAAATCGTTAAAATGTGTACCAACTCTAATAGAAATTCGACTGGGGGTATAGCTTTCATCAAGTTTATAGTCTGTATAAATGTAAATATCACTAATGGTTGTTTTTCTTTGAAATTGAATGTTAACCAAATGAGGTAACTGTCCATCTGACTGCCAATACGTATCAGCCCTATCGTCTCTTAATTGATCTACCCCAAATCCTAAAATAATTAATATTAACATTGGACCATGTCAAAAATTATTTAAATTACCTGGTTTACAAGATGATAAACTCCATATTGCTTGAGAACCCACTTCCCTTACGTTTCCTGTTCTTTCATTTTTTAATGGATCTACATCTGTGGTTTGTTTTAACGACATTTTTTGTTAATTTAATAACAGAATTTGATTTAGGATTTAAACTTTGTTAGAACTGTCACTATCGTTGGTTATGTTGGGTAGTAGGCTTAATGTAGGCTAATAGTAGTTCAAATGCACCAAAATTAGAGGTGGGCCGGTTTGCGATTTTTCAGAACAGTGAGATCCTTTTTCTATGAGTGCGATCTCTTCTGTGAGCAGTGTTGCCAAAGTGTGAGGATTTCCTCACGTTGTGAGGATTTTATGCGTTTGTGGGGAATTTGTGAGGGTTAGGTAAAATGTGAGGATTTTGTGAGGATTTCGTATTTTTTCTTTTTGAAAAAACTTATTAAAGACGTAAAAATAATGATATAGGTATGCAACCCAGAATGTTTCTTATAGGAAAACAATGTATGAATTAGTATATCTTGCGACTTACGGTTAGTTAGCTATCCTTGTCTTATTAACGTATACATCTTTAAACGGTAAACACGTGGTAAACATACGAGAAAATTAAATCAGCTGATATAGACGTCTATGATTGAAAAGTAATGAGTAGGTAACCTTAAATCCTGTTTTTCTATGTCCTAGACGAAATAATTATTTCGTCTTTTAATTATGGATAGTTGGTTATTAAAAAATTCTGCTGTAAGTATAATATATCCACTTTAGATTAACAAATAATCATGTTAAATTACATTTTAGAGTACATCTGTGTATGTTATTAAAAAAGTGTATATTTAATATAAATAAATTATTTTCATTTTGTTTGATAAATTTGTAGTTTTCTTATATACCTATTTCTACAATTTAACTAACCCTTTCACAATTATTTAATACCTATTACTAAACTCGAAAAAATTATTTAACATTTTTTAATTGGGAGGATTTTGTGAGGATTTTCAAATTATGGCGGGTAAAATGTGAGGATTTTCAGTAATGGATGGGGGTAATTTCATATTTTGTGATTGGCAACACTGTCTGTGAGTGCGATTCGCGACGCTCGGAGCAGTTTTGTCTAAAGCCTGATTAATAGATTGTCTTCTATCCTTCCTCCGGGAGGAATCCTCCCATAAAAGATGAACAATACGAAAACTGTAGTGCTGTTTGTATTGACAAATCGTGGGTTGAATATTATATTGTTCTATCAGCAATTTTGGCGGAAAATGAAATTTTTACATGAAAAAGAAGGTTTAACGAATATCTATCTATCTAAATAAGTATCACTGTTAAATATAGCCCAGAAATACTAAAAACGACATTATTATTTTGTTCTATGTGCGAAATTCAAATCAATTAAATTGCAAGTTTTCGAGTTGTCACTGACAGCCTGTCAGAATAACATATCTGTCATCGGCAGTTTAAGGAATTACGTCGTAGGTTTTTGCACAATCCACTAAAAATACAAAAAATCACTGCAACACTTCGGCTATTTTCGTTGTTTTCAATTTTTGTGCTTTGGGTTTGTGTTCTGTTTATACAGATTAATAATCGTTTTAAACGTTGTGTTTCTCATAGTAAGCATAAAAGAGTCCTTAAAGTGCTAAGAACATTTTACTCCTCTATTATAAAAAATAAACTTTATTCTATCAGGGCTGTCATTAAACTGTCAAATGTCAATTTTAAGGTTAAATTATAACCCACAAATTAACCTTCAAATTGTCATTTGACAGCCCTGATAAAATAAGGTATATTTATTATAAAAGAGGAGTAAAACGGCCGGTTGTCCTTAGCACTTAAAGGCCTTATTTAAGGCTTACAAGTGCCTCTGTAAGAAACACAACGTTTAAAACAATTATTAAACAGCACAAACCCAAAGCACATGAATTGTAAACAACAAAAATGGCCGCCGTTAAACTCTGTGCCGTGTTGCAGTGATTTTTAGTATTTTTAGTATGAGATAGAACAGACCTTGTTGTGTGGATTGTGGGTTTTTGGTGGTTTAAGTGATTATTTTATTTAAAAATAAATGATAGTAAGATTCCGTAAGTACAAAAATACAATATTATTATAAAATAGTTATAAAATACCCAAATAAAACTTAAGTTTGAACAGCAACTAAAAAATATAGTTTGAAAAAAAGTTCTAAAAGCATGTTTTAAAGCAAACAAATTCGTAGAAATAAGCTAATAATGTTCTGTTAGTAGCTACGTTTGTGTTTAGGGCACAAATCACTTTACGTATAAATTATAATTATAATTTATACGTAAAGTGATTTATACGTAAAGTGATTTGTGCCCTAAACACAAACGTAGCTACTAACAGAACATTATTAGCTTATTTCTACGAATTTGTTTGCTTTAAAACATATGCTTTTAGAACTTTTTTTCAAACTATATTTTTTAGTTGCTGTTCAACAAGTTTAGACGTATTCGAAAATAATCATTTTGTGCATCAAATTGAATACTTTGAAGATAGTGATATTCCTGTGCAGATCCAGATTATGTGGCTTTAGATTCAAATGAAGCAGCTTTGAAATCACATGCAAAATGTGGTAATATAGGTAAATCCTAGTCTACTTTTTTATAATTTTGTATTGGTTTTTGTTTTGTTTTTAGACCTAAGGATGACGTATTTTCGCCAATGTTGATACCAGATATTCGCAATGCACCTGAACTAAAAAAATGTCTTGCAAAAGTTGCTGATCTAACCAAATTATTTAAGTTTATGCCGCCTGTTGATGTAATTTTTAAAAAACTTGTTTTAATTATTAAGCATTATTAAGTTGTTTAAACAACTTAATAATGCTGCTGTATTTGCAAATGAGAAAAAAAAGACAATAATTAGTTGTTGAGTTATCATAAATAATTAGTATTACTTAAGCCTTGTTGTTTTTGTAAGAGTAATTTTTTACCCTATACTGTTAGAACATTTTGGAAAGTTTTGTAAAATTTTGAAAAATAATAAAACAAAAATGTTCTATTAGCAATTCTTTGATTATTATTATTATTATTATTAACATTTTTAGTTAACCAAAATACTAAAATTAAGTGCACTAAGCACTATGCACTAGCTTACTCGCGTTAAGTACAAAATATCTTTACAAACTTTAATAATATTAATATTCAAAATTTGAAAACTTGATTTTCAAAAAATTAGTTTCTATTAGAACAATATAATATTCAACCCACGAAATGTTCTTCTACGGCGGGAAGGAGGGAAGGAAGGAAGGAAGGCAATCTATAAATCAGGCTTAACTGAGCAGTGCCACGGTAGAAGCAAAGCAGTGCCTTCAAAGCACTGCGTTAGAAGCCCTGGCGAAAGTGCGAACGGCGAAGCAGTCAAATGCTGAGACTCAGCGCTGCTTCTCGAAAGAAATTTTAAGATTCACCATCGTACGATACGCATGTCAGATAGATGTTTGATAACTACATTAAAAATTTTGTTTTTTGTTAAGTTTAAGCCTAAAATGTGTTTTGTACAAGCAGTGGCATACCTGAGAGTTCAGCCCCCCCCGGGGGCTAACGAAGCTCTGTAAGGGTTTGAAGGTTAAAAACGAAAAAAATATTTTTTTATCAAATTTATTTTTTATTTAAAAAATGCTCATTTTAGCCAGAGCTGGGAGGATCTTGAAAAAAATATACTTAAAAGTCTTAGATACTTTTTATATTAGACAGAAAGTATCTTTAACTTAGTTACTTTGGAAAAGCCAAGATACTAGTATCTTGTAACTTCAATCTTAAAAAGTATCTAAGTTACTTGGTAACTAAGATACTTTTTAAAGTACCCGGACAACAATCGTGATACTAATGCGAACATCACGTCGTGATTTTCACTAATTTTATTCATACTGATATCATATATGATATCGTAACGGAAGTCACCGCGTAATAAATGAAAATCATACGAACGTCACGTCGTGATTTTCACAAATTTTATTCATACGGACATCATCCGGATGTCACTGCGTAAGAAATGAAAATCATGTCGTGATTTTTTATACCATTGCTGTTTGCGATTGACCGATGGCACAAAAAATCATGTCGTGATTTTTTATGCCAAAGGTGTTTGGATAATCATTTTTGCGCCACGTTCGTTCACTAAGAGAAAAATTATGTTGAATCAACAGTTTTTGCGGTTAAATATATTTAATATTTTTTTGGATTTAAATTAAATAATATATAGTTAATTTAAATCCAAGAAATATTGAATGTTAAACTGTTGATTCAATTGTTAACATACTTTTTCTTTCAATGTACGAATGTGTCGCAAAAATGAATATCCAAACACCGATGGCATAAAAAATGATGTCGTGCTTTTCATGACCAAACACCGATGGCGTAAAAAATCATGTCGTGATTTTTTATGCCATCAATTAATTAATTTAATCGTAATTGAGGTATAAAAAATGGTGTTTAGTTATAAATAATAAGTTATTATTTATAAATAAATACCATTTTTTATACCTCAATTAGGATTAAATTAATTAAGTTTTTACCTTAAATTTAATGAGGTATTTTTATTAAAAATAGTACAATAATCCTTTAAATTAAAGGCAGGTAAAAAATGACCAGGGTGAGCAATTGATAATTATCTCCGAATGAAATAATGTATAAAACTTAAACCAAAGGAAACTTTAATATTAGTTAAAAAATCTTGGGTAGGTATTTAAAAAATCAGATTTAATTTAATAAGATAGTTATTACCAAAAAAGTGATATTTTTATAGAAAAATTATTGCAGAATCGTATACAGAAAAAAAAATCAAACAAAATTTATTTTTTTCATTACAGCGCCATCTATTACAAATATGAAAAATGTTTTAGACAAAATCTACCTATTTTTAGTCGAATGTGCAATAAAAATTGGGTGTTTCATTGGAAATTTTAAAGTTTGCCGATGAGATGAATAGTTTAGCTGAAGATCTGTCAACTGTGTTTTGTTGCCCCTATGATATCAATATGACATTTACACAAGAACGTAGCTTTCGTCTGGCAAAATGTTGTCATATCTGCGAGCAGCCATTTACTTTTGAAGATATTATAATAAAGTACGAGATCATAACCATCTAATTCCTGAAAACAATTATCGCGGAGCCGCGCATAAAGGTTGCAATATCAATTATAAAGATAGTCATA